AGACCATGTCTCACAAAATAAGGTGGAGATCAATTTAGAAAGATAATGACATTGACCCGGCCTCCCTAAGTATGCACACACACACATACACACACATTCACAAGTTCATACACATATAACACAGATACACATATACAAACACACCAGATTCATTGTCACTCAAGTCCCCAAACTACTTTTCTTCCTAAGTCCTTCACCAAGCCCAAAACTTAGGAATTACTATTATCTCTCGCATCCACTGACAATCTCCTTTAGACTTTCCACAGTGAACTTTTTTAAAAGCAAAGATCTAATATCATTCACTTGCTAAAACTGTTTTCTTCTTTGTTGAAAGTCTAAATTTGCAAGTATCAATATTTGTTGCATCACTAGTTACAGTAGCTAAGGTGTGGAACCAAACCTAGGTATCCATCAACAGGTGAGTATATAAAGAAAATGTGGTATATTTTTCAACCATAAAGAAAAAGGTGATCTCCATTTCAGAAAAAATGGATATGACTGAAGATAATTATCTTAATCAAATTAGTCAGCCTCAGAAAGACAGATATAGCATGTTGCCTTTTATTTGTGGATTCCAGATTTGCATATGCATATATACATATGTGTGTATGTATAAATTCACATATGCATACATGACTTGAAAGTAGAAGTTAAACTGTCTAGGGAGAGTAAAAGGTGGTAATGAGAGGGTATGGGGCAGGTAAGAAGGGTAGGGATCATGTTAATAATATTCTCAAAGTACATTAGATACATTAATATGCACTTGACTTCATGAAACCCAATACCATGTACAATAAATATGTATCAATTAAAATATAATTAGTGAAAAGTGAAAGTTTAAGTTTATAATATACAAAAGCACTAATGATGTAAGAGATAAATATTTTATCTCTTATGCAGTTTTAGATTTTTTTAAGACTTTTCCATCCACACAAATCTACTATAGGTGGCATTTGCTATGAGTCCCCACTTGGCCCTGCAAGCTTCCACACAGCCTGTATGTTCACCGCCCCCGAGCAGCCATCCTACGGCTGGGCTAGGTACTACTGGTGCTCCCACAGACTTCTGTTTTAGATGACACTTGTCATACTCACAGGCATTTGTCCCCTTCACTAGATTACACACTTCTGAATCACAGATATTAATCATACTAGAATTACAAACAGGACACTTTAAGTGATTATATAAGTGATATATAATAGATAAGTGATATCTGTTTGGGTGAAAAATATCAAATATCCATTAGGAATATACTTTTGTGCATCTAGTTTCAGGCTGCTTTTGAAGTTAGAGTTTTTAGATGTATGAGCAACTTTACGTGAGTCTCTTCTTTTCTGTGATTAGGTGTCTGAGCTATAAAATGATGATAAGAACTGTAGCTCCTCCATAGGTCTGACACAAAGACAAAAATAACAAGCGCGCATCATTGGTAATAGGATTTTGGAAATGGGACTCAAGAGCTCTCGATAATTAGCTGGGTGCTCTCCTGCCGTCACCATTGTTGTACTGCCATTGCTGTTGTTCTACAAGACGGATTCCGTTCAGGTTAGACAGCTGTCTTGTGCCAGGATTTCAAAATAAATTTCATAAGCTGATGTGTTAAAGAACAGAGAAAACTTAAAAGACCAAGAGGTCAGCAGGAAGGAGAATTATGGGACTCCTATCCTCCGATTGCCCCAGAGACAGCTATGTAGGAACTGACACTCTGCTGCACACGTAAAGGCAAAATTTCCATACAGCAATACCACAGTCTTTTCTCTTAGAGAAAAAGCATCAACACTGAGGGAGTTCACTGCCTGATAGATGTCAAGCGGTGTGTCTGAGTTTTTATTGTTAACCATTTCCTTGGGTTCTCTAGAAGAGTCTTGGGAAAATATAGGTCTCTCGAGGGGCAAGAGGAAGATCACAATCAAACGATGAATATAATAAAGTTCTTTCTTAAGGACTGTCACCTGAATGGTCTAAGAAAACAATAAGATTTGGGGTAGTGTCAGTTGATGACATTTTTTGTAAATTACTCTTGCATTCTTCAGGACTTCAAATGCTATCATGCTTTCCCCAGAGTCTATTTGAAATAGTTAGATATTCCAAATTTTAAAACAAGTGTGTTCCTCTATCAAGACAAATCAAAAGTGTTTCAATAATTTCTGTTTATATCATTAGCATTTACTACTACGTCTGACGCTATTCTAAGTGAAAAGAATGAAAAATCCAGAGGTGTAATTCCTGCATTTGTGTATACATAGCCTGAGGAAAAAGCAATAGAAAAAGAAATAAAATAAAAGTAATAGATGCAATAGTAGAGGTATGCATAAGACTCAGAAACATAACTGGGTAGTAGTGCTGTATGCCTTTAATCCCAGCACTTGGGAGGCAGAGGTAGGTGGATCTCTGTGAGTTTGAAGCCACCCTGTTCTACAAAGTTAGCTCCAGGATAGCTAGAGCTGTTACACAGAGAAACCCTGTGTCAGAAAAATCAAAACAAATAAACAAACAAGAAATTCAGAAACATTCAGAAATAATGGCTCAGTTAATTAAACATTACATTTTATAGACTACAAAGTATTTTTTAATTAACTGAGAATACTAAGTTTAGCGCCCAGATAAAAACACTGAAAACAGATTAACATGTGTAACAACAAAGGGTAACATGGTAAGCAGTATTAATGTTTTCTTCATGGTATAAAATTTAACAGGAAAATATTCTATCATGAAAATCAAAACCAGTATCTAAGGAATAGCAGAGAAGACATCTGGAAGTCACGAGGATTAAATACAGGTCCTAATTCTGCTGCATAATAACATGTGAATCTAGGCAAGTCTCCCTGCCTCTCTTTTTATGATGTTAAAAAGTAGTGATAATAGTAACCACCATACTGGGTAATTTTAGGAAGTAAACAAAAAAGTATAAGGACCAAGCAAATAGAAAGTGTTCAATAAAGGCAACCTTTTCCTCCCAATATGACCTCACTTGCCAATGTCTTATTTTATGCATTTATCCTCACATAACTATGGCAAATTGGCTCTCATGCTCCCAGGGAACAACCTCAAAATTGTTCTCTAAATCATTCTGTCCTATTCTTATAATTACTTCCAGAAACCATTCACAGTAGTTTTGATTGATTTCAAGCATTTTTATCCATTTGTATTTCACTAAAACATGCAACAAAGTGACTTTATCTCAAGACCATTTGGTACCAAAAGCAGTCAGGAAGGAAGGAAGGAAGGAAGGAAGGAAGGAAGGAAGGAAGGAAGGAAGGAAGGAAGGAAGGAAGGAAGGAAGGAAGAAAAGAGAGATGAAAAACAATAATATTCAATAATGTAACATAAAAAGATAGTAAATATTAATATCCATAAAGATTAAAGTATTCTGGGACTGGAAGAAATATCCATGAGTAAAATGCCTGCTACTCAAGCATGTGAACCTGAGTTTGGAGCCCCAGCATCATGTATGAAGTTGAGTATGACAAGAACATATCAACACCCCCAGCACTGGGATGGAAGAGAAAAACTTGGATGGCAGGGACTCAGTAGCCAGCTAATCTGGCCAAGCTCCAAAATCAGTGCGAGACCCCGCCTCAAAATCATAAGGTAAGCAATGATAGAAGAAGATAGCTGAAGTCAATGTCTGGCTTCCTCATACCCCTGCACAGGACATTGGATGCACACATGCAAAGTATTACGGTCACAAAAATATCCTAAGAAATTCTTTGATACTGAAAGAGTTGAAAGTTAGCAATTAAGAGGATCCTAAAGAGATATTAATGCTTCTGTTTTACAAATTGCATCTGACATATATTTAGAATATTTTAGTCTGTCAAATGTGTCAATTTAAGAATAAATTAAAATGAGATGTCAGTATTAAAAAAAAAAACTTCATAGAATACATGTAGATGGTCCTGCAATAGAACTCTTAACAAATCAAGGTTAACATTGAGTTTTATATTTTGGTTCTTGTTAGGGGGTGGATTTGATTGATGTCTGTTTTAAATATGTTTGATCCTCAGCTTCCCTGCTTTAAAATTGGTTAAAAAATTATTCCCCCATAGATGATGTAAGAATGAAGGTTCAAATGACTACCTTTGATCTGTTCTTCAAAAGCTAATCTATATGAATTCAGAATTGATTTTTTTTCCATCTCAAGGAAATTCCTCATGGTAGGAGCTGGCAGATAATACTTTCAACAAGGAAATGGCCTATGTGGCATAGCCTTAGGTAGATTCTAACCACCAGGCAGTCATCCCCTTGTCATTCTTAATTCTTACGTGGATTCCTTTATCTAGAGCTAGACAGGAAGTGGGAGTTTAAAATAAATTAAGTGAACTAAAATTAATCCAGATCAAAATTTCAATCCCTCAGCATTGCTAGCTACACAGTGGCCACACACAACTAGTCAGTACCATGTCCTACAGAGAGAGCCACTCTCTCACCAGAGGACAACCTAGACGGCACTCAGATGAATGCTCCTGTGTTTTTAGGCCTTGATTCTCACCTCTGTTAGCATTTCATACTATGAACTACCTTAGGGCTTATGGCAAAACTATTTCACTGCCAGGTTAGTGTCAGAATAAAGAAAAATCCAAAGTCAATGAGGAGATCCAAAATAAACAACAAAGAGAGAACAATGGGCTTAAAAAAACACACTGACTTTATTATAAGTAATCTTTCTGATGTTGGCATCAGGGTTTCAGATAGTCCAGCAAATGTACACAGAAGCTGTTTTTTCAGAGTGTGAAGATATAGCTTAACTATGTGTACACCAGCAGCGTATACTTACAGCACATTTTCTCCCCAGAAGGGGCAGCAGATGCTATTGAGTTACGAGCACTTCCTGTTCAGAACTTAGATATTTAGCTTTGCTTGGGCCCTGCGTGGCATCTTAAGTATTTTTCATGCTTGCTGGTATTCTGGTTTTCACTGCTTAACATATAAAGATGCTATTGCTTAACACACCTCTTGTCACCAAAGTAAGAGAGTGATCTGTGTATGTTTGCATTTAGGTTATTTTGTCCATTGAAGAAGGTTACAGGCTTCCAGCTCCGATGGGCTGCCCACCGTCTCTACATCAGCTCATGCTCCATTGCTGGCAGAAAGAAAGAAACCACAGGCCAAAATTTACTGACATCGTCGGCTTCCTTGACAAACTGATCCGCAATCCCAGTGCCCTTCACACGCTGGTGGAGGACATTCTTGTGTAAGATGCATAATTTAGGTCTTTCTTCTCCTGACAATCATAATTTCTTTTGGGCCACAGGCAAGAACAACAGGTAGAGGGAATGAGTTTGCCCTTGGTAACTATCTCATCACTGACCCTGTATAAACCTTATTTTGTTTATCAGCTGAACAGATAAATTACTAACATGGAAGAAAAATATGGATTTTCACAAGAAAAAAAGAATCCCCCTTCTTTTGTCTCTGCATCTAATCTGTCTGCATTACTTTATTTACATTTCTCTTATGTGAATCTTTGATATTTATGTCTTTCTTTACTGATCCCTCTTTATTTTTATGAGTAGAATTTTTGTGCCTGAGTATGTCCACTCTAATTTTCTTTCCATTCCGTGTTCCATCCCTCTATTTGAAATGGCGAACAGACAGGGTAATTTGTGAATCACCAGAAGTAAGGATTTTCCCCTCTAGTCTGATCCACACCTTGCTGTTGTTATTTTCCTCTCCCCAAATCAAAACAAGGTAGGCACTCATACACCATTCTGTAACCTTCAGTACAACCAAGAAAATTACTCACTTCTCTCTGAAGAACAATAAGGCAGAGAGGAACGGAAGCAAAAATAACCCTCATCTCCATCTGAAATATTACACTTAAAAATATCATCACTGTCTCCTTTTAGCCTAGATTATAAATAGCCAAGGCATACCTTCCTGCATCACAAGATGGCCACGGGATACACAGACACATCACTGTGGGTCACAGGTTCTAGTCAGTATAGAGTTTTAGTAACAATAAGACGAGGCTCTTTAAGGGCTGTTTGAAGCAGACCTCTTTTTACAGCAGATCACGAAAAGTTCACCTCTACATCACTAATTGGCAGCCTCAGCAAAATGAAGCCAAGCATGAAATAGCTAGTGATTCAAGTACTGCTGCAGTCCATCTCCTCTAAGCAGCCCAGCCTTCCTAAAGCTGTGAGCAAAACGCCCAGAAAAGAAGAACATGTCGGATTTTATTAGAAAGGCAATGGGTAGTCACTGAAGGATGTTTAAACAAGAGAATGGCGTGATTACAGTTGCACTTCTGGAAGACCCCTGGACTGTTGATTTAGACTATGAATGCAAAACAAGACATACAATGGGAAACAGCGCCTCGTGTGGCTTCAGAAATCCGAGCTATAAAAGTTCAAGGCCAAAGTTATAAAATGAGAATAAAGATGAGATCAGGAGCAACACAAACAAACAATATTAATGTGGCTTGGTCACTGAATAAATATGGAAGAAGAAAGAAGTGGATATTTGTCATGTTTTTTTTTTTTTTGTGCAAAGAGTTGGTGGTAAACTTGCTAAAAGTAGAATAGGAAAAAGTTTTGTAGCATGAATGAGATGATTTGGGGGCATTCTGAGTCACAGATTCCTCTGGGGTGGTCAAGTGGAAATTCCATAGGTGCATCACTTCTAGACTGAATTTGAAGTAAGAGATCTGGGTTACAGAGCTGAAGAGATGGTTCAGCAGTTAAGAGTGCATATTATTCTTTAGTCGGTTTCCAATACCTATACAGGGTTGCTCAAAACTGCCTGTAGCTTGAGTTTCAGAATATACGACCCACTTCTGACCTCCGTGGGTTTTAACACCCATGCATGTATATCCACATGTAGACCCTCGTGCATAGCCTAATTCCTTCTCAAAGATCTAGGCTTGAGGTGAACATTTGAAACTGACCGGCACATGGATTATAACTGAAGGAATTAACATAGATGACCTATGAAGAAAATAAGAAATGCAAATAAACAGAGAAAAAGAAGGCTACTATCTACAACATCAAGATTTAAGACATGATCCCAAGAAAACAATAACCAAAAGAGACTGAAAAAGAAGAGCCCGACTGGTAATGCAGGAAATACAGGTGGAACTACATCATAAAAAGCCAAAATAGAAAGCTGTTTCAAAAAAATGTGATACCCAAGCCTTCACAAAGCTTCAGGAAACACAAAGAGGAATGTTTAGCTGGATTTAGCAGGGAGGTACACAGGTTCAGGAGCAGCCTCAAATGGACAATTTTTAATAACATTTAGGAGGTAATAAAGAGGAAATACAAAGTCAAAATAAAGTTCAATACATAACGATAACTTTGATTTCCAGATACCAGTCTCTTACAGGCAACATAAGTCGAGAAAATATTTTTTGACTTTTGTTTTAATATTTTTTTTGAAAATAAAGTGTTCATGCTTTCACTATTGAGGGAAAATCCTAATTGAAACATACTACAAAATAAGTCCACCTTCATGGAAGAAGACATCACATCACACCCCTAAAGCCAACTCATTACTCATTACCTCTGGGCTTCTTGTGACCCAGGGCCAACAGACTCCCCGGTGGCTGTAGCAAAGCTATCTACCTGTGAAGTGACTCTAGTCAGCATCTGTAATAGACAGACACAGCACTTTCTTAACTGCATTTTGACCCTGTGAGTAATCATCTTATTTATAAAATATTCAGGAAGAATGTCAAATCAGAAAACGACCAAAGAAATGGAAAAAGGATAGATAGGTCAAGGCAGATGCAAGGTGCTGATTGAGAGCCCGAGGTACATGATGAAGTGACTGTCATTCTCTAAGAGTCTCACCACACACAGGTCGGAAGTTGCATCCTTCACATAAAGTTGTCAGATTGGTTCAATTCGTAAACCTAATCTCTCTGAAAGAAAGGGAAATTTTAGTGAGTGATTTTTCTCTCCTTGTTCATGACAGAGGCACATGAACTTTTTGTTTTAATATATTTTTGTTTGAGAAACAAAATGAGCCAGAGTTCCCAGGGTATCATACCTGAAACTAATCTTTATTCTTATTATCACAAGAGCCAGAATTGGATTTCCTTGTCCTCCCGTTTGAACCATATTCCCACTATCATCCACACACTCTGTTTCTAATCTCAGAGAACTGAGACATTTTATTGTAATGAGATGGCCTGGTTGGTTTTGTGTTTATAAAACAACAACAGGCTCCACATGAGAAGCCCCTTCATCTCCCAAGTTCCAAGAACACTTGCCTGTCCCAGATTAATGTTGGATTAAGGAAACATGACCTTTGTGATCGAATGCCTCTAAAACATGCCAGATGGGGAGATGGCATAAGAGTGCTTGCTCTTCAAACATGAACATTAATCTGAGTTTGAATCCCCAACACCCATATTAAAAAAAAAACTGAGCATGACTGTGTGTGCATGTATCCCCAGCATCAGAGATAGAGATAATAGAAGCTCAGGAGCTTGCTGGCCAGGCAGCTGGTCAAACCAAAACGGCAAACTTCCAATTCAGTGAGAAATCCTGTCTCAAGGCTGTATGGCAGAAAATAAAAAATTTGATGTCCTGCTCTAGCTTCTTCATGACCACATTTATGCAGCCCACACATTTATGCAGTATGTATGCTCTGTGTGCGTGTGTGTGTGCATGTGTGCGCAGAAGAGGCTAAGTGGGTAATGCACAGCCATTATTAGCTTCTCCTTTACTCCAGTGTCCCCAACTCCAGGTTTCTCTCATTTCTACACCAACACAGACATTGTTCTTTCATCAAAAATATACCCATGGTTTTTATTTCACCCTTAATTGCCTTAATTGTCTTAAGAATTCACTTGAGAAACTTTTGCTCTTTGTCTTGGCAATGGTAATAAGTGGAGGAAAAATTAAGATAACTAAGGAGAATAAGGAAGGCTATGGAACCCACAGTTAATAGTTTGATGCCAGCAAATTAGAAATTTCATAAATCGCATTGGTAGCCTTTCCTTGCAAATTCCTGAGTGTTTTCTACAGAAAAGATGTTGAGCCAAGGCTTTCAGGACTGGGAAGAGCAGTTCTTACTCGGATCTTCTGCTGATATCCCTCTGCCTGATATTTCCCCATAGGCATATTCTCATTTCTGTAGGGCTCCCAATGCACTATTTTAAAAAGTATGGACATATCTGAGATCACAGTGATTAATATAAGAATGTCATTAAATCCAGCTAACTGCTAACAGATTTTCAAAATTACCTTCTTGATGGAGGCATGAAACCTTCCATAAATATAATATCAATGTACCCTCATTAATCACTTTATAATAATTTCCTCTCAAAGAGTTATTTGTAATTGTCCCATGGTACTTGAGATCAGGGTTATGTGCAGAAGAACATTTGAACCAATGCCTGACTGTCCTTCTGTTTCTTCCCTCTATTTGTTCTTGCTCCCACAACACTCAGGATCAACCTTGTAGTTCCCAATTAAAAGCAGGTATAATCCTATAAAGTCTAGGGATTTGTCTGGCTATCTGAAGATTAATAACACAAAGTGGTCTGTTTACCATATGGTGTCCTTTCACTAAGCCCTACCTACCATCCCCAGCTTACCACATCTCCCTGCACATCTATTGTCCATCCTTTCCAGCGCTCCAGGCTCTGATGTCTGTTAAGTCTACTAGATTGCAGTCAGCTAGCTGCATTTTTTGGCAATGCTACAAAAAATGCAATCAGGAAATAACACTCCTTGGGCTTAGTGTATATAGCTCAGTGGTAGAACCCTTGCTTGCTTACTATAAGCAAGTTCCTCCTTTCAATGCTTAGTATTGCAAAAAGAAAAAAAAAGAGGAAGGGAAAGAGTAGGTCGTGGGTAAAGAAAACATTTCCAATTCTGTTCCAAACCCGCTGCAAATCACTGGCAAACAATTTTGTGCTTTTAAAACATCAATTCAGTGATGATATCTGGGGATATGCAGCAATTTCTCAGATAGATGGGCTGGTCTAGAATAGTCAATGAGCTCATTAGTCATGTTTTGCTCAAGCCAAAGCACATTGTAAATATTTTCACTATTCACTGGCCATAGTTAGGGATCTTGTAAATGAGTATTTCTTTAACTACCATCGTCCTTAGTACATACAATTGTATGGTTGAACTTTCAAGCACTTGCTTTCTAGTGAATGTGGAAGGTAGAAATACAGCCATGTCAACAGTGTAATGCTTCTGCTTCAGAAAATGATGAGAAACCTAAGACCAAATAGCACTATCATCTTGTATTCCATTAATAATCTTCAACAATTTAATATACAATTTTCCATCCATTTTCAAAAGATTTTTCCCAGTGCTGACTAGGTTCTGTATTATCAACATCTACAAAATTGTTTATGTCCATAAACAAGCCATAGAAAATGCATTTTGTTTTGATTTTTGTTTATGACACTTTATTGGTGTTTTATCATACAGAAATAGCTGCCTGGTCAAACCTGTGCATAAATTGTACGATAATCAGCTTTGTGAACGGAAGGAAAGAAGGAATGAAGGAATGAACATATGGAGGAAGAAAGGAAAGAAGGAAGGAAGGAAGGAAGGAAGGAAGGAAGGAAGGAAGGAAGGAAGGAAGGAAGGAAGGAAGGAAGGAAGGATATAAAGTATTGGTCAGAAAGTGGAAGTTACTGCCCACCCATTAGAAAATCTAAACTGAATGAACCACTCTATGAACAATTCCAGTGCTGCCTATTAATACTGATAGATACATATCCTGTGTTATAAACAATAGCAACTAGGGCCACATTTTGAGCTGTGCTGTGTGCTAATCATTGTGTCTACTGGGTACTTTCATTACTACTTCCCTTAGTTATCATGTTCCCATGGCTCAGAAAAGGAAAGGGGGATGCAAGGAGGCTGCTTGTCAAAAGAATACAAGAAATAATTATTAGATTAATAACAAAGTTCATCATCTCCAGAGTCCATATTCACTTAGACTTTGCAGTATAGAACAACAGAAAAATCTCCAGATCTTTCTCAGCCCTGCACTATACTGAACATATGAATATAAGAAGGTACATTTTTATTTTTCCAGTTAGATTCTCTTTGTGCTAAATAAGACTTCATAGATGAAGTTTACTAAAAGGCCTTTAAAATATTTTGGTGTATCACAGCCTGTCGCTTTCTTTTTTTTTTTCTGAGTAATACAGAGTAAATACAAATATGTTGAGCACATACTCCCCCTCAAAGATAAACAGCAGATAAATAGTCATATACTCCTTAAACATCCTCCTGAAATGCACAGCCACTTAAAGAACATTGGCTGTGGACAGATATAACTACTACAATATAGAGAGATGAAGGAAATACAGCAAGATCATAGTTCCAGAATTACATCCTTGGGCATTTCTGTAGATTGGATTTTCTGGTGCTGCACATACTTGCATTGCTTCTTTCTTCCTGCAGTAGCAGCCATTACATCACGGCGTTTTCTGCTCAGCTCAGATGCTGTGCTGCTGTCATTGTGGAGCACTGGGAACGGATCCCATGAAGAGATAATGACAGACACTCCCAATGCATCGTGGCTGCATGTGATGTGATGTTTGTTTTTACTCTGGATTATTTCCTCACCGAAGACGCTTTCTTTGAGACCCAGTCTCTCTTGTGGGACCGCATGCTGGGTTCTCAGAATTCAGAGAGATTATATTAATTATAATTCCTGTATGTTTCACCAGGTAGCAATCTTATTATGCATGTTAAATAATCTGAACAATTAAAAACAGAAGAATTAATTAATAAAATCTGACAAAAATTAATGCCTACAACCTAACACCGTTAAGAATCATACTGAAAATATTATACCTACATTACCCATAAGCATTAAGTAGAGGCAAGATACATGTTTTTAAGCATTTTATACTTTAGGATATTTTAGTCAAATCATGTTTTAATTTTTAGTCTCAAAATTTTCTTGGTAATTTGTGATCAAGTTAAATAATAGGCTCTATTGAAAAGAATGCAATGTAAAATCTTGAAAATCTGAAAGAATGCAAAGTAAAATTTTCTTTCAATGACTTTCTGAAATATAAATATACTCAAATGTTGACATAAGAGTTAACCAAGTATAGAAAAGAATAGCCATTGAAACATGAGAACTTCATGTGAAATTGATACTATACCTTAGTGTTGAAAGTTAAGGTGAGAACTGCTGCATCCTGCATACAATATATACTTTTAAAATATGAACTTCTAGATATGCTATGAAGAAGTTTCAGGTGAGCAACTCCACTAATCACCAAGGACCAGAAATTTCCACAATCTCAGCAAAAAAAAAAAATAGACTGAATTTATCACTGTACAGATTTGATAAGAAAGGGCATTTATTGTTTATTAGGCAATGTAGAGAATTCATGTGAGGATGATAGTGCCAACTCTGAAAGCCAGAATAGAGCAGCATTTTTCAACCTCAGTATAAGATAAAGTGAAATCAAAATTGCCACACAGGCACTGTAAACAATGTGGGGCCTCTGACCTTACTAAATCAAGTGCCAAGGCAGCTGCAGAAAAGGCCAGGAAGTTAACTAGTTTACTAACGTGTGTGCGAGAAAGAAAATTATGACATTGCAAGATTTGGGGAGCAAATGTGAATGCTTTTCAGTGGGGAAACATTCCAGCCCTTTACTGGCTGTACGGGGCGTTTGTTCTTCGATCGGTTTTCTACAGTTATGACACAGTTAGCAATTCACATTCCCACTCACCAGTTGCAAAAAATTGTAAAATCTCAAGAGTTGCACCAGTGTCATCTCAGTGTAGATAAAGAAACTCATCTGCCTTTCCCCGTGCATCAAGAAGAATGTGAACTAGGTTTCAAGATACAGGTCTATAATTCTGGAACTCCAGAGGCTGAGGCAGGAGGATCAAGAGTTTGAGGCCAGACTGAGCCACATAGTGAAATACTATTTCAAACAAATAAATAAAAACAAAATAAAAAAGGCATAATAAAATGAAGTAAATATCAATTCAACTATTTTTTTAAATTTTCTTCCATTTTAACAAAACTCTCTTAACAGTAATTCCATTTATTAAAGCCATATTGGTCTAAAATAAGACACTCACCTTTCTAACCCTTGGTTACTTATGCTAATAGGCAATAAGGGTATACTAATCTTTTGAGAGTTAGTTGTGAAGTACAGCAGTATTTCTTAAAAGATATGCTATAGACCCTGACTAAATAATTCAAGAAAATTATACAGAAACTATTTTGAATTCTCTTGCATATTCAGAGGGCATTCTTGACAATTAGAGATTTTAAGGAATGCTGCCATTCAAAAATCTAGATGAATCTGTTTGCCACGATGGCTCTTATTTAGTATTTCATATATGAATTTTTATTTGATAGTATTTGTTAACATATATACAGCTAAGAAACTTGGAAGAAACATTGCAGCAGTCCAGAATCTGTCATTAGATGGCCATGATAGCTTTTCAAATTTGGGGCATGGCTCATTTTTGTTTTGTGTAAAATTGTGAATCATTCTGCTATTAACTAGATGAAACAGCCCACAGTCAAATAGCATTATCATTATGGCTTAGATCCAGAACAGGAATTATAGAAATGTACTAGAACTGAATACATATACAAAAGCCAAAAAGCCTCTGAGTTGATCCCTAATTTCCTTTTGTATATGTAGTAGGAGCTTGTGTATGCTGTACTCTATATTAGGTATGGGTTTCCTTTAATGGTGATTTTACTTTTAAAAAACCTATTCAGTTCTATTTTGAAGTTTGATCAATGAATTCATCATTAAAAGGAGAACCATCACAAGAACAGTGGGGGCAGGTAAAAGGATATGAATTCCTTTTTTCCATTTACTTATTGTTTTGCATACCAGCTGCAGTCCCTCCCCCTCCTCTTTCCTCAGTTTCCCCCCTCCAAGCCTCCCTCATCCATTTCAGTTATGGAAAGTGCTGGTCTCAACACAACATGGCATTATCAAGTTGCAGTAAGATTAAGTACCTCCCCATGTATTTAAGGCTGAGCAAGGTGACCCAGTATGAGCAGTAGAGTCCCAAAGGCTAGAGAGAGAACCGGAACAACAGCCCCGGTTCCCACTGTTAGGAGTCCTCCAAGAGGACCAAGCTACACGACTGTAACATACATGCAGAGTGTCTAGTCCAGTCCCTTGCAGGGGTTGTTAGTTCAGTCTCTGTGAGCCCCTATGAGCCCAGGTTAGTTGATTCTGTGAGTTTTCTTGTGGTGAAGGGTGTGGATCCTAAGAGGTCAGAAGTGGTGAACTCTCCATGCAAAGAAAGTGGGTAGACTAAGCTTCAAATTTCATGAGAGAGAAAAATAAAAAGGAATATAGGAAAAATGGGTTTTCTAAAGATCTATCAAGTATTATATCCATAGTGACAAAAAGCAGAAAATGTCAAAAAGAAATAACTGATTTGATTTTTTTAAAAAAGGGTTTTGCTTGCTGAATAGGACAGAAAATTAGAATTCATTCAAATGGAGAAGAAAAATATTAGCTACAAGAATATTTCAAAAAATGATCAAGTCTGGTCATTCTGGCTTTTAAATGCTATGATTTATTTCCCTGCAGAATGCCAGAATCCCCTGGCGACGGTCCTGAATATCCATTGTTCGTCACAGTTGGTGACTGGTTGGATTCTATAAAGATGGGGCAATACAAGAGTAACTTCATGGCAGCAGGTTTTACAACGTTTGATCTGATCTCAAGAATGAGCATCGAGTAAGTAGTTCTAGGCTTATTTCTGTAATTAGATATTTTGCTCATGGAATTTCAAATTTACACATCCAAATCAAGAATACTATTCCTAAGGCTAGTATGTGATTTCTGTCATTATCATTCCAGTGGAAGCTGTAAGTTAAACTCTCATCTATTATTCTTTTAAAGAATATATTTAATTCAAATAGATTTTTAACATTGTTGTAAATGCTTCCCAGATACATACTGATCTTATTAAAATCATAGAAATTACATCAACATAGTGTTTGTTGCCTTGGTAAATTGTTATTCATATATATATTTATATTCAGCTCCTACTGCCATCATTAGATCAATCTGCTTACTCTAATGTGTTACCATGACATTGTAGAGATCCTTCTACGTACTATCATGATCAGACATCTTACATCCTCTCAAAGACCATCCTTTATCTACATCTAATAAAAATGTTCAAATGTGGATTAAAATATTATAATAATTAGATGGCACCATTAAATTACCATTGTTTTAAGATAGCTATGCCTAGGAAGGTGAACATCCAAACTGGCTAGGCTCCCACCAAGCCGGAACATGAAGTAGGATCAGAACCCCTTGCCATTGACCTTGGCTTCTCATCAGTCCTCATGGACGGAGGGGGGAGGACCTTGGACTTTCCACAGGGCAGGGAACCATGACTGCTCTTTGGATTAGAGAGGGAGGGGGAGAGGAGNGGAGGAGGTGGAAACTTTTTTTTTCTTATTCTCAATAAAAAAAATAAAAAAAGATAGCTATGCAAGTTCATATGGTTCAAAATAATGACAGCTTTTAAAGTCAAATACTAAATGTTATTGAACTTATGAACTATTTATCATATATGCACAAATAAGTACAGAGAATGAAGTAACAAATTCCAATGTATCCACCACCAAGTTTATGAGATAATCCATTCATAGAAACAGTTGAAGCTCTGTGTGTACTCCAATTCTACCACCTCTCCTACTCCCATTCCAAGGTCATCATTGTCCTGTATTTAATGTTAATTAGTCTGTATATATCTAATTTAGATATTTCATATAAATTTTAAAATTCATCAAGAGGCTATGTATTTTTCTTGGCTTCCTCCCACCCAACATTTGAGATTCATCTGTTCTCACACCTATAAATCTAGTTCAGCAGTTTAGGCTACTATGTGGGGTTTTCTTATATGTCTCACTGTCTTTTAAATTTGTATTAATATAAGTGTTTTAGAATTGTATGATTTTTGTATTCATTTTTTGTGTATCTCTTAAGCATAAAAGTGAAATTAGTGTAGGGTTGTAGAATATGTGCGTGTCCTCCTTATTTATTTCCACAAAATTGCTAAATTTTGCTTAATGTTATTTTCATACTCATATTATGCCCCTACATGTTCTACATTTTCTATGACTGTCGCAAATTTATATAATTACTTCAATTATAAGTAGCTTTATGCCTAATAGAAACGCAAGCATTCTATCTGGATATGGAATTTTTCTTTATATCATTTAATTTGAGATTAAATGAATTTGTAAATATTTTATGGAACAAGGGAAAAGAAAATATAAAATTTTGCTATTTATTTATATGACTACTTAACTATTAACCAACACATTTATTCCCATATATTTAACATAGCTACATATTCGTTTACTCATGCTTTTGTTTATTAAAACTATGTGCTCAAAATCTTTCTCTTTCTCTTCCCCCATCCCTTGCTCTTTCTCTCTCCTCTCCCTTCTCTCCCTCTTCATACTCTTTCAGTGATATTAGACGAATTGGAGTCATACTCATTGGACATCAGAGACGAATAGTCAGCAGCATACAGACTTTACGTTTACATATGATGCACATACAGGAGAAGGGGTTTCATGTATGAAAGTACTATAAACACCTGTATTTTGTGCCTCAGCATTTCTACAAAGAAAGATATACCCTCTACAACTCATTCTTCTGATTCTCCAGACATCCCTTCACAACCCACAGTCTCCTGTTCAGACTCTGGCTGCACACCTTACGTTTATGCTTCCACCCTGGATTCCAATATCCTGCTACACAGGTCCTCTCTGAATAGCCTGCAAATGAAACCCTGGCCCACTGCAGATTATCACTACATAATGATAAATAACTCAGCATGAATGTGTAACTTTGTATAGAAATGTTTGGGAAGTGTTCATGGACTTAACCTAAAGGAATGTGTTCAGGTGTGGCATCTTCAAAGATGTACGTAGCGTTTGATGATAGATAAGAAAGAAATAGTTGACCATTCTTCCATGTTTTGTGATCAAGTAGCTTCCAACTTGACATGCTTCTTTTTTTGATAGCTTCGCTCAACTCTGCGGGTTGTACTATTGTTTTATTTTCAATAACTTAACTGTTGGTGCCTGATGTTACAACGATTTGCAGAAATGCTCAATGACTCCATGTAGTGCATTTGTGTCATACAGGTGTGAATACAGTATGAAGGGCATTGTTGGGGAGGGAGATGGACAAAAATACTGTGCTTTTAAATATTCTAAGGCTGGGTTTGTCTATATTTTTAAATTAACTTTATAGGGTTCTACACATTTCATAGTAGGTGGTTGTTTAGAGGATTTTCCCCCTCTAATTTTTTACTAACTATGCTGTATTTCTCTAGTATGTTACAAGAATTACCCTTGGAAAGACCAAGAGTGAGTCCATTACTCTGATAGTTTTCATAGACAGACACATGGAGTAAACCTATGGCTGTTGCCTTGAATTCATCCTCACGAGTATGACAAACAATTATCAAAGCATTGAGAAAGTATATTGTTCACAACGTGACCTTTTTCTTAAATAAAAGTTCTAACATAGTAGCCATAGACTAAATGGGAAATGATTTACTGAATTTAAGATAGCTTGCAGTGCCCCAATGTTATAAACGCAACTAGTTGATGGATAACTGGTGTTCTTCCAACTTTAACAATTCAAATATTTTGTTCACAAAAATAAGTTATATGAACACTTTGAGGTGTTCTCAAAATCTTCTAAGAAATTAGTATGGATACCATAAACATGATGTAAATAGATCTCACATTTAAGCATATATATATATGCACATATATAATGTGAAAATTGCAGTCTATTGTAGTATATAAAAATAACACATCTGAGATGTGTTGTCATAATCTTCTCTGAGGCTTACAGCAAAAAAAAGCAAATGTATTTTTCCAGTGAATTTGTCAGCTTATCAAAATAGTGCTCCTTTTAAAACAAACTCAACTATAAAATTATCTGCTCCCATGAAATCACAAAAATTACCATCATGATGAGTGAAGAATAAACTGGTTATTGAAGAAAGAAAAATGCAGATCAGATTGTCTAAAGATGCAGATAGTGAAATAACTTTTATTCAATGTCAGAGACAAAGGCATCCTCTCCACATCCCTAAATTCCTGCTGAAATTCTACGAGAGGATAAAACTGTTTCCACTTAGGGATCCTCATTCTTTTCCTTTTAGTTTTGTTTGTAAGATTTTTGTTATATAAGATCCTTCTACATTTTTTTCGCTGATTCATCTTCCTGGTTTTGCTCCTCCTGTTGAAGCTTAATTTTTCTCATTTCAACAACAACAAAAAAAGCATGTATAAAGATAAAAGGGTGTCTTTAAAGTATTCCTTGACTAAACAGAAAAAGAAAAGAGTGGAATTCCATCCCTTTTTAAGCAAGTGTGTCAGAAATAGCTGGTAATATTTTCTAGCCATTTTCATGCATGGCCATGCATCACTCATAGACTCTCGGCAATTCGCTTAATACATTTACACAAATCTGGATACATTTAGGAGAAATATAAAATTTCCATATTTATCTGTCTTTAAATATCTATTAAATGATAACAGATGATTAAATTTATTAATCATATATATTTATTTTTATAAAACAGCAAAAAGGTATTTAGAAAAATAAGAAATAGAATAATATGGTCCATCATAGGACTCTGTCCACAGCATCTGTATGCCTTGATGAAATAAACTCTATAGTAGTGTTTAAAATTCTGTGGGATTTACATTCAGTAATGGCAGCATTAAGAATCTGTTAATAGTTTTCATTTAAAAGTGTGATGATGTAATTCTATTTCTAGTTAATTTGCATTTCTAAATATGTCTTTCCTGATTTATTAAAACATTCTCCTTCTATTCTCTAATCCCATGTCCTCTTCCTAGTTTTGTAAAATTATGTTTATTTACCAAGCTATGAGCATGATAACATTAAGTGTAATATGAACTTCATTATGGACAGAACAAGGCAGAAATATGTGCAAAATTAAACATAAACATTAAAATATAAGAATATTTCTTTGCTGCCTAATGGTCATGCACCTTGTGATCCAAGAGAAATTAAGATCTCAGAATATAGCTGGGCGGTGGTGATGCACGCCTTTAATCCCAGCATTCAGGAAGAAGAAGCACGGATCTCTGTGAGTTCAAGGCCAGCCTGGTCTACAAGAGCTAGTCCCAGGACTGGCTCCATAGCTACAGAGAAACCCTGTCTCAAAAAAGCAAACAAACAAACAAACAAAAAAAGATCTCGGGATGTTAATGGTTAAAATATCAAATGCAGATGTCACTATAACATGAAACATTCTGAGATTTCCCATTCTGAGGTTTACTGGTGCCTGTGATCAATAACTAAATTTATTTGATATATACAATCATAAGATAATTATTAAAAAAATAAGCTAATGGATTTCATAATTATAGTTAGGAATAATCCCTTATAACTAAAAAAATACATATACATTATGTACTTGCTTTTAAGAAATCTTCATCAATTCTAATGAGTGAGTTCTTAGATTTTTGAAAATCAGACCATGTAAATTTTTTTTATTCTCTCACAAAGTCAACTTCTGGTCTATAGCCAAAAATGTAAAACGAATGTACAATCAAGAACAAAGATGGTGTATTGAAATCATTCAGCTAAAAAGTATCTGAAATGATGACAATGTAACAGGAAGGAAGAATTATAAAAAATTTGCAATATTGTTCTACAACTGCTGATAAGTGTGTTACACATGCTATAATCACAGATTTATTATACTGAGTATCACTCCCTAAAACCTACCCAGCTGTAAACTGGATAAGGCAGCCTTCCAGTTCCAACTCAAAAGCCTCTCACAGCCCATAATAGAAAAAAAGGCAAATTTAATCTGTGAAAAGTAAAGTTTTATAAAGTTCTCTATGGCAGTGATAGTGAAGAGGAAATAGCATATCATCTAACCTGTGTTCTAAATGTCTCTTTTGATATCTTTCAATATTAAATGTACACTCTAGGAGAAAAATCAGTTAACTTTCATCTCAAGATTTTTACCAGTATTGTTTCTTTTTCTATTCCTTTATTAATTTTTTTTCAGCCCCCATCCAATCACTTTTCTTTCTCAGGTTCTATCAATGTACTCATTATATCAGTATAGCAAAACACAGCAAGTCTAAAAAAAAGCCTTGTAAATTTCCATGGAAGCAGCTGAATGGCAGGGTAGGTTGAAAAAATTATCTATTGGGTCTTTGCATACAAATGGGAGCCCTTCAAATTAGAAGGTGTGAGTTCTGACTTTGCCTAACAGAAAATTAAGCACAAGGGGAAAAATTCAAAATAGAATATTGCTCCTGTATCTTCAGTTAGTTAAGTCAAATATTAAATAAAAAGAAATTAGTATTTTAATAACCCAGTGTTAACTTAGGAAATCTGTGTCTTTAAACATAAAAAGGTTTAAAGCAGATGAGTCAGTTGTTACATTATGATCTCCTTAACTTTCACAACTTGAATTTCATGCAGTCAAATAAACTCATATCTATAAATAATCAAACATATTTGAGGGGCTGGAGACATGGCTCAGAGGTTAAGAGTATTGCCTGCTCTTCCAAAGGTCCTGAGTTCAATTCCCAACAACCACATGGTGGCTCACAACCATCTGTAATGGGGTCTGGTGCCCCCTTCTGGCCTGCAGGCATACAGACTATTGTAAACATAATATATAAATAAAAAACATATTTGATACTTTATTTAAACAGAAGAGGAGTAGATTAGGTACAACTGAGGACGTTCATTTGTCTTTCATGTGTTCAAGTCATACTTTTCCTTTTTATGATCAACATTCCCAACATTCTTTCTCATTTTTATATTGTTCAGAAAAATATACATTTTACTTACCATAGTTGAATAAAACAGCATGTTTCCCATACACATAATTATTTTTTCACAAAAATGAATTTAAGTACACTGTGGTTGGCCACTCTTAATCCCTGAGTTTAAAGTTTAGATTGGAGCCTGGCAGTTTGCTATAGTGACTCTTTCATGTGGGATTAGATCTTGCTCTAGAATAAATCTAAACAAGTAGGAGTTAGTCAAGTGTGAAGTGCATGTTAATTTCCCATCAGAAAGATATATTTTGAAACTTGGAATCTCTTAAAATTCTTCCCAAAGACCCTTACTTTTTTTGGTAGTGGAAATCATGCTTTGTGGGTTCTCTAGGCTCTTACCATCAGAAGTCAGTCCATATATGAACTTATTCTTCTGATAACCTGTAAAAACATCATTTCATTTCAAACCAAACCAAAACTAATCTCATACCTGAGCTAATTTTTCTAGTAGATGTAATAATATGCACTTCAAAGTTTACACAAAATCCTTTCCAACAGGATCTGTTAACCAGGGAAAGAAGTGATTGCCCATGACTAAAATGAACAGAGTCAAAGGGAAGAAAAACCTTATATCGCATAAAAATAAATGTCCCATCTTCATTAAAAGTCAAGATTTAGGCATATGCTTTAAAGATTTATTAGAAAAACAGTAGGGTTTTGTTATACAGAGATGTGAAATGAAACATGTGTCTCCTGGGAATAAAGTTGGAATGGTCTAGAAGACACAGATCATCCAGACATAATTGAACTAACCTCTTTTACTGACTAGTAGTTAGATTCAAATTATCACTAGATCAAATTATTTTGAGCATCTTTATAATTTGGCTTGATTTATATATAACGAAGCTTGAGTTCTTTAATCCTGGATCAAGGGTTTTCTCTTTTGTTGGCAGATTTCTCTTTTGAAGTCACAGAATGGATCTAAAAGTTTAGCTTTTCAAGTTACTGAATTTTAAAATAAAACAAGTTAAGAGAGTTTCAATGTCTAAGGGAGGTAAAGGACTTCTAAAACACTTCAATTTTTCCAAAAGAATTTGACAATTAGAATATCTGTACATCTCAGAGATGTCAAGTCACTTCCACATT